AATTTCGGTTATCCCAAGAATAGTTAAATAATACATGAAAATTGAAAAATCTTCAGTTTTCCTTATGTTGACAGTCAAATTACTCATAATATAAAATAACTAAGTTCATCAAGTTACACTTTAGATATCCACACAGTGACACAGCATAAAAATAACTACAGGCGTTTGATTCGAAATAAGATTGAGGATGACTGAGAATAATGTTCTAAAAAGCTTACTTCCTTTTTGAATGGTTGTTGTAGTCGTAGTTGTAGTTGTAGTCGTAGTTGTAGTTGTAGTCGTAGTTGCAGTCGTAGTTGCAGTCGTAGTTGCAGTCGTAGTTGTAGTTATAGTTGTAGTTGTACTCGTAGTTGTAGTTGCAGTCGTAGTTGTAGTTGTACTGTTCGTCACTATACATTGTCATAAAACACATGTTTAAACAGAGTAGATAGTGCAACGCTTAACATAGTTGAGACTGGTTTTGAGGTGATGTAATTATGAATACATCACTTCCCAGGTCAAACAGTCCGGCCTGGAAACGGCCGGTTCCGGGTAGTTCCGTTGATTTTGTGGAAGCAGTATTCCGGTTGGAAATTTTTCGGATTTTTTTCGGTGATTTCCGATCAATTCCTGCCGGAAAGCACCGGAACTTGGCAGGAATTCGCCGGAAAAGTCCGGCCGTATTTTTGACCGGAATACTACTTCCATGTTCCAGCGATTTCCCGTGTTTTCCTGCAGGATATGGTGACTTTCCCGCATATTCCCTGGAGTATCCTACGGGATCCGGCGGCCGGAACGTTCGACCTGCGTTACACCGTCACACATCTAACTAGTTACTACGGAGCTCAAATTCTTTACGTTCTGAAAAAAGCATTGTCAAAACTTGGAAGTATTCAAGCATAGCCGGTAGAGTAATTTGCAGTAGTGAATCTGACCAGCTTAGAATACATTGCCAATTTATTAGTCTCTTTTTCTATTCGATGAGTCAGTCTTAGTACTCGAGTAAAAGGGTAAGTTACATAAGCGGTGAACTTTGTGATTATCAGTGGCTCAGTTCGTTACGAAATCACTAAAAGTGTCCGCAGCTGTTTCAGTTATTAAGCCACAGAACTGTATGAAAAGTATTCATTTTCACATCCTGAATCATGGGAGACAAGAGAGCATACAGACAAATTTCTCGGACTACCAGCCAATCACAACTTCATTTTCAAAATACCGCTGAATAAACTTTATGCCCACAATTTTTAGCATTGATATATATATTCTTAAGGTTGACAACGTAAAATGCATTTTAGGAAATGAATCAAATTTTGCGATCATCTTTTCTCTCCTGTCCTCGAACCATGCTCATACGCTACGTATATGGTATCGTATGAGTATCTATATCTAGGTTAAAGACTGCATACAATGTTAGTGAATAATTTCCACATGATAAAATACAAGACATTTTCTTAAATAATTGCATTTCCACCAAGTTGGGTAGCTGCCTCAAAAGCTCTGCCTTTATTCCTCCCTATTTTTACATCCAGGAAAGGTTTGCTTCACATTTGACGTTCGAAATTACTACAAGTCTCTTACTGTTCATAGATGGACAAATTCGTGGATCTTTCATTGATTTCGGATAACAAATAGAACTATTACGACATGGAGGTTGATGAATACATTCATATTCAGACTGGTTACAAGAATTGTATGATCCATTACATTCGACTAGTTGAGAACAAATCGCCCATTTAAAGCCACAAATAGTTGGCACAGTAGTATTGGCCGTATTGAAACAAGCACAGGCACTATTCTGCGAACAAGAGCCATTTCTGCTCCCCCCCCCACCACATTCACTCGATACAGCTCTAACAATGGAGATACTAAATTATAATTGAATAACATCATAAGATAAAATTGTTTTACAATTACCCGAGTATCATGAATAGAAGAAAACGTGTTATCGTCAGCATTATTGTAATGAGAATGAACAACTTTTTCTTTTTATAGATAATCAATAATGAACAGGAAATAAAAACATGATGTTTCATAAAATAGAAATTTGATATTGTTTCAATACTTTATTTTCAGAATTTTATTTTTCTCTAAAAAAATGATTATTATTGTTTTTAAGGGGTGACTTGCAGATCTAACGCTGACTTGGAATGGAAGGAGGAATTTTCTAAAACATATGTATGTTTTCACTATAAGTAAGCTTAAAAAATTTACCACTGCTGCCACCTTTAGATGTCCGAAAAGCAGAAAGTGTGTTTGTTGACAGATAACTATTTTAAACATTTTACCTTAGTGTGATAACTAAAATTTCTACCTAAGATTTTCATCTTTATCAAGGAAATAGAATTATCGAGTACAGATTATTTTGATGTTTCTGGGTCTATATATGATTTTCAATATCAGCTTCATTTCAATAATGTACTGGAAATTGTTGATTGTAAGAAATGTACGCGTTGCTTGAAATGAATCAAAATTTTGTTCTTTTACAAATTTGTTGATATAGATTATTGTCTTTTGTCAAAAAAATATACAAGGGTAACTAAATAGAGATTTACATGAATCAAATAAGTACTATGCAATATACCGGAATGAAAACGAAAAATATACATTGGGAGTTATTCATGGCCAGCACAAAAGTGATGATTATTATAAAAGAATTAGGATAAGATAAAAGCATCAGGAACTATTGATGAAAATTCATTTTAAACTTTTGGAAAATAACTGATAAGAATGGAAAGTGCTGGTTAAAACTATAAATAGTGCGATATCCAAAAAAAAGTAGAAGGGGTGACAACACTGAAATTCACATCACTATGATATCAATTTTATGATGTGTATCTAACCAGTTGCCTTTTAACTTTGGAGACTACTCAAGCGTCTCATTTCGTTATAGGGACTGGTGTGGGCGCTTGTTTCTATTGTTTTTCAAAAATTTCCACTGATTTCAAATTCAATTTAAAACTTGTGGTTTGTAAGGAAGGTCATTCAGTAGTATTTTTATATTTGAAATGTTCTTTTTAATCCATCCTATTACTGGCATATTATTATGTTCAGTGACATTTCATCAACGGTCATGAAATATCTGATTCGATTTCAAAAATATAAATGAAGGTCTGAATAACTGTTTACAGCTCGAAAATCACTGAAGAGAACGGCTTCCATGTCGAAACAACCTAAATATGGATGAAATGACAGTTGGCAGCACTACAGATGAAGCTTGTAGCAACTTATGAGACTGCGTTCAGCTTATTAAATGATAAATCAGGAGATTTTCTATTTCTATTTCTATTTCTCAACACAAGCGTTGCTCAGAATTTATCAACATTTTGTATGAAGTTCACCATATAATCGAATTAGAGAACGGTTTTCAACAATGTGGATTTCATCAAACTATTTATTTGTATAAAGACATGTGAGATAAATAACAAGAGCATTTTAACATTCCATTCATATTTCGATAGTGAAATACACAAACGAGAATGTGAAAAAGGATAAATAGTGATTTAATCTGAAACAAAAAGAAAAAACTTTTACTTTTTAAGTACAATAATTGTAATGCATGCATGTGTATGAGTTTTCTAAAAGTAATTATATCTTAAATCAGATATCACTCCAAAATTTATAGTTGCAAGAAATCTTTACTAATAATTTAGTAGGTATAGGGAAAATTCAACTGAGTGATGTCATAATCCCGTTACACCGGGTAACGACTTTTTCTTCAGCTAAACATACTTTATAAATATTCGGTGTATTACCCCTAGAGTATCCACTTTTATATAACTATATGTTTTAAAGTTGAGTTGTTTTGGGGTACTATCCTAAAGCGTGACAACTTGGATATCCTCGAAGAAATACACAAAAACAACTCGAATTTGAATATAATTGATTCATGTACTGCACAGTAACACTTCGGAAAAACTTCAGGCACAGATATTGCTACAGAAAACTGGAAATAATATCCTTTTATCTCAAGTGTTCTTGAAATAATTTGAATTTAGACATGTATATTACTTAGGCTAAAATGTATGACATAAATTATGATTCCTAGGAGCCTTCCCTGGATTCCTGACATTGCGTAACATTGGTAGAGGGAAGACTGTCACTGCTAAAAACAAGCCGGACGCTACTACATGAATGCCTTAGTCTTCTAAAAGAATGCGTGAAATTGTTGAAATCATGTATCAGGTTGCTCAGATTATTCCTTGACTTCCGACATCCTTGTCTCATGTTGCTGCCAGTACGCGTGGAGTCCTTCGAGACACACCACACGTACTGGAACACATACCTGAGCTGCTAGATACTTCATACAGGTTACTGCAACCGTGCCTCATCTTGTTACAGGTATTCAAGCCAACTTTCATCCCGGAGCACTCAATTTCTTATAGCAAACGCAGGTATGCTTGTAGCAGGCTCAAAGTAACTCTCGTTCTTATTTGATGTGGAATTAGGCAGCTGCTCCGAATTCCTCAACTTTTAAACATATAATTATCTAAAAGTGAATACCCTAGGGGTAATACACCGAATGTTTATAAAGTATGTTTAGCTGGAGAAAAAGTCGTTACCCGGTGTAACGAGATTATGGCATCACTCACGAATCTAGAATTTTTCCCTTAAAAAAATGAAATTTTTGCATCTTAAATGGTATTTTAAACTTTTAAACGAAAACCCTTTTTGAAAAAATGCTAAGCATCGTATCATTTTAATTGGAGATCGTCGTTCCAGCTATCATGCTTTTCAAGATATTTCAAAAACAATTTGCCAAAACGTCACAGCGCTACACTGGGATAAGTCGATCTACATCCTCGTACTCAATCTCTCGTTTGTTCTAAGCTATGCAGATAAATGCGAGTATGTTAGTCTTATTGATAGTGCTCTCCAGTCCTCACAACCACAATTTAAACTATTTTCGATTTTAAATTGAATAAAGAAGGTGAACAATTCATTAGAAATGATTACTTTTCAGTAAATATAAATAAATGATTTATCTCTCTTGACAACCCATTACATAGGAAAAATGTTCATTCATGTACAATCAAAGTAATCATGTTGAAGACTATGAACAATCATTAAAACAAGCTCGTGTATCACTTCTTGGCTCAACTTTTGATCAACTATGGATGCAATCGGAACAGTCATCATTGATTGAACATAAAGCTTCGATTAAAAAAACACAATCATCATGGTATCATGATAGAAAAAGTCAAATTAGTATTATTCTTCTGATTATCATCATTATTCTATTACTTCTATTTTCTCTACCATTTATTATACGTTCGCAATATCTTTCTAATCTATTTCTTCATCAATGTTCATCACTTGCATGTCTATCAACATCACATCGAATCATAGAAAATTTAAATATGAATAAAAATCCATGTGAAAATTTCTATTCATACGCTTGTGATGGATGGATTAATAGTCATTTTCTAACGCCTAGTGAAACATCGATTAGTTATTTTAAAGAAATCTATAAAAATAATCTTATAATTCTATATAAAATTCTCAAAGACAAGTCGAATACAAATGCAATATCAATAAAAAAATTAAAAACCTATTTCCATTCATGTATGAATACATCAAATGATGAAGATCTCGCAAGGTCAACTTTAAAAAATATTCTTCATCATGCTGGACCATCGCTTCTATTGTTAAGAAATTGGTCAAGAAAAGATTTTAATCTAGTGACAAGTCTGACTTATACACATCGACATAAAATAAATCCACTTTTTCATATAAGTATTACAACCAATCATAAAAATAATAATTATCATTGTATCTATTTGGAACAATCAGGTTTATCGTTTGAGGAAAGATTGCGCTACAATGATGAAAATATTCGCTATTTATTTAATAATTTTGGTACAAACTTAATAAAACATCTTCATTCATTTTTACCAACGGATGAAATTTCTAAACAAATCGATGAAATATTTCTATTTGAAAAACGTTTAGCTTCGATATTTCAGTTCAAAAATTCCTATAATCCATTGGAAGTCTATCACACACGAACATATGAACAGATTCAACAATGGTTTTCATCATGGTTTGATATAGAAAATTATTTCGAGAGAATTTTTCGAAGAGATAAAATATTTTTCTACAATCAAACATTTCTTATATCAACACCAGACTATTTTGAAAAATTAAAACAAATCATGCAAACAACACCTCGATATATTCTAGCTAATTATATAACATTTCAAGTTATTCAAGAATTACTACCTAATATGCCTGAAAGTTTTAATCAATTTAGAGGATCATTGATGATGCATTTAAAAGGGATCGTAGAAGAAAAACAATTATGGGAAATTTGTGTTAAAAGAACAGACGATGCATTTGGATTTGCTACAGGTATTTTTAGGAAAATTTCCTAGTATGACAAAGTTGACTTGTTTTATTTTGTACCATTAAGGTGCTCTATTTATATCAAGAGTATTCGATAGAAAAAGCCAAGAGAAAATAAAACATATTGTTGAAGAGATTCGTTTAGCCTTTATTGAGACTCTACCAAATATCAAATGGATGGATTCAGAAACACGTCATCAAGCACAAATGAAAGCACAAATGATTATTGGTAGATTCTCTATTGATTAATTCAGATTTCTAAACTTTCGAATAATATAGACAGACTTGGATATCCGAAATGGCTTGAAGATGAGAGAAATATTGATCGATTTTATGAAGATTTAAATCTTTCGTCGACTAATAATCCTATCGACAATATAATGCTTGTACGGAGATTTCAAAAAGAGCACAATTTAAAAAAACTTGTACGTAACTTGACCATCTTAAGATTATCTATAGAATACATATGATTATTTAAGGGCCAACGACCTGATATTGAAGAATGGACTATGACACCGCTGGATGTCAATGCATATTATGCACCATGGAAGAATATGATTGTGTTTCCAGCTGGTATTTTACAAACACCGTATAGCATCTTGTTTACTATCTATTTTTACATTTATTTATCTTATATTGTAGATTTTTCGATGCTAACATTCCTATTTCGTTGAATTTTGGATCGATTGCATCGATTATTGGTCGTAAGTATATTTTTTTTTATTCAAGCATGTATTCAATTATATTTATTATTGTAGATGAACTTATTCATGCATTCGATGCCAGGTATGTATAGTTTTTTCTCATTGCAAATAGTAGATATTCAGATAAATCAAGTTAAGAGACATATCCAAGCTAGAATCAAGGATTTCTTGGTCCCCATGTTGAACTTCTAAGATACAATTGATCATAAAATTATTATTATTGGTTTCTGAGTAGTGGCCGATATTTTGATGGTCATGGAAATCTAAATAATTGGTGGCAAAAAGGATCAGCTCGAAATTTTGATGAACATGCTCAATGTTTCATTGATCAATATAATCAATATCGTATTGGAAATAAACATATCAATGGATTGTTAACACTTGATGAAAATGTATGTCCGTATGAAAGTATAAAAATCATCTTGAATATGATGAATCCATTTTCAGATTGCTGATAATGGTGGTTTACGAATTGCATATGTAGCGTATGAAAATTATTTAAAACATCATCATTTACCATCTATCAAGTCTTTTAAAAATCATCAACAACAACTTTTACCTGGCGTTAATTTAACAGATGAACAATTATTCTTTATCGGTTTTGCACAAACATGGTGTACAAAAACTACACCTGAAATGGCCCGGGCAGCACTAGTGACCGATGCACATGCTCATTCGAAATATCGTGTTATCGGCTCGTTATCAAATATGCCTGAATTTTCGCGAGCATTCAAATGTGCAATGGGATCTCCAATGCATCCTGAAAAACGATGTCAAATATGGTTAGATACGAGATGATAGTAATATCATATAAATTCGACTATACAAATGGGCAACGAGAACAATTCTAATTTTATTTCTTTTCGATATCTAAACTTATATCTACAAGCGTTTCCTAATAAAAGACATGAAAATTCCATTGTCGTTAGTTCAAGTAAGTATGTACTCAATCTATTTACAAAAGAAAATCATTTTTTTCGGTATTTTAATTATTAATTTTCTTGAATTTGAGTCTTAAAAAACTAGAATATTCTATGTGAGGAAAATGGAGTACCGCTTTGATTGCGAGTAGTCTCGCTTGATGATAGGTGTCGCTCTAAATCCATATTTATCGAACCTTATTAACCGATGATTTCTTAGAATACAACAACTAGTAATTGTAATTTTTCAATACTTCTATGAATAACTCGTCAATTTATTTTTCAATTTAACAAAAATCATGCATTAATATCAACGGTTTACAATACACCAATCGAAGAGAAAAAAAACAAATCTATTGTTTCTTTATTTCTTTCTACTTGAACACAGAAACCTTTAAAACAATTACCTTGAACAATGCTGTCAACTTCTGCTATGTTCATCATGGTTAGGCATTTATTGATTTTGTATAAAAATTTTCATTTCATTACTTTTTTAAGCAAAACCCTTCCACGAGAAATAGTTACAATCAATGGACAAGAAACAATTATTTGTTTGTAAATAAGATTCAACCTTCTTTGTTCTAAATTTTTGCTAAAATAATATTTGCTTTCTTTGAAGATCATGTGCCGAAAAACAATATTCATCTGGAAAAATTTCTTCTCTATCCTACATTCGTTCGAATATAAAATATAACAAAGTTTTAGCATTACTCAATCGAACATTTCGTACTTTATATGAACTGAGTAAATATTCATATTTGATCGATTTTTTTTATACTTGATTATTATTTAAGATGAATCAAACAATGAACCGAAAGATCATATTGAAGTGAAAAAACAAGCTATCAAAGAAGGTGTATTAACATGTTTGACTTTATTACGTCCATCTATTCGTGAAAATCAACAAATAACACCCACAATTGAAGGAAAGAAAAAGATAATAATAACGAAAAAATACTACAATGTACTTGACAATGATAGTGATGATACTGATAAAGAAAATCTATCGAATACTCCAATATTAGATACAAATAAAATACGTCGTAAGACTATTCGTACTTCGAAACCATCTAAACGTCCAGGTAGTTCAAAACAAGATGACGAAGAAGAAGAAGATGCATCACCTTCGAAACGAAAGAAAAAAGCAGAAAATGCTGATGTACCATTACCAATCATAAGTCCGAATGTTGTTAAAAAGGTAACTCCAAATCGAACAAAAACTGATGAGCTTGGTGAAGAAAAGAAAAAAAACTCAATTCGCTTAGCACGAAAAGTTCATCAAGTAAAACAAGATTCAAAATCTATTGAAACAACTAAGTTAACAAAACAACAAAAACAAGAGATAAATACGGAACAAGAAACAGAGGTACCAATTACGCTAGTTAAAAAACTTCAGACAAACGAAAAGTCTATTGCCAATCGATCAAAACCAATCTTAGCAAATAAAGCGTCTGCCGGTGTACGTAATGATAAAGGTGAAACATTATTACATCAAGCCGTTAAAAAAGGTGACATTGCACGAGTTAAACAATTGATAGACGAAGAACATCATCCAGTCAACACGATTGACAATAATTCATGGACACCGCTGCACGAGGTAAACGTTATTTATATTGTATAGAAATAGAAGACACGATATATTTCGCTTGAACTGAACGTAGCCACAAATGAAGGCAGAGGTCATTGGAGACTAGACAGATTGAACACACGTAGAAATGACGAGTATCACTACCTGTCACTTTGAACGATTTAATCTGAACTTGGTTTTTTAATATAAATTATTGCTAACTGAGTAAAAGTGCCTTTTTCTTTGTAGGCGAGTGCTATGGGCAATATTCCATTAATGGAATTATTACTTGCTAATAATGCTAATATTAATATTCAAGGTGGCCAAGAACAAATGACTGTTTTACATGAGGCTGTATCCAATGAGAATTTAAATGAAACGGTAATTAAATTTTTACTTGAAAATGGAGCCGATCCGCTTATAAAGTATGTTAACAAATTCTTCTATAAAAAAAATCATTAAACTTCTTCATTTACAAAAGGAATAAAGCCGGCAAAACCGTATTGGAACTTGTCACCGAATTAGCTAATCCTACAATTTCATCACTTTTCGAGAAAAATCACTGTGTTCATCCTTCTCATAATGAATTGCCAATCGCTCCACCACCGAGACGACGTGTACGAACCATCTCATCATCTAATATTCTGTTTTTAACTGGTTTTAATAAAACTCGTAAAGAATCATTTATTAAATCTATGCAAACAATTTTCGGTCGTAAATGTGTAACAATAGCCCGCAATGTTGAAAACAATGGTTCGACTTCGATTCCTATTGATTTGTAATAATCGTTTCTTTCCTTTTCTATTTTTTTTTAGTCACTCATGTGATAGCATGCGGTGAGACCGATAGAGTAGCATTTCGAACAATAAACTATTTACGTGGTATTGTTCTTGGCAAATGGATTGTTTCAGAAAAATGTAATACAAAAGCCAAAATAATGAAACTTTCCTAATGTTCTTGTATTGTTTTTCAGGGATTGAAGAATGTATTAAAGAAAAACGATGGATCAATGAAAATGATTATGAAGTGCTTGGTTCACAGCTTGAACCGAGCTCAAATGGATGTCATATTAGTCGAATTAAACATGAACAAAATGTAAATTTAAAAGGAAATTATTTTCTTAATTCATAGGCTGTCTTTCGTTTTTGTTTAGGAAATACTTCTTTTCAATAAATGTGAATTTTTTCTTTATGGTCAATTTCATACGTATAAAAAAGAAGATATAGCTGATTTAGTGAAAATTACTGGTGCGACTTTACTTAAACGTGAACCAAAATTACATCGTATTAATAGTGATACTGATTTAAATAATAGTAATCAATCAATAATGACCTATATTATATACGAATCTTCTGTACCCGATATTCTTCTCGATAATAATGTTATAAAACATATAAAACTACTTGATTTTCTCGCTTGTATAGATTATTATAATACTCAAGAACGATTAGATAATTAAATTCAATAATGTTTATTTTTTTTATTTGTAGATTAAGATTTCTTTTAAACTATGTTTACATCAGGCATGAATTCAGGTAAGCATCAATTCTTTTTTTCCTTTTTTTTTTGTTAAATAATATTTTAAACACAAAATACAATGAGAGAGTTATGAGTATTGACGGACTGCTTCGGCCATATAATAATTTCTTGTCTATTTGTAGATTTAGTCAACAGAGGCAGGCAATAGGAAGTGCCCTTGTAACATGCATCTCGTGAACGAGTGAGAGAATAGCATTTACGAATACGATCGACAGTACACACACACAAGCGTTTGTAAAAAAAACTATCATATATTTCGTGTTTTTGTAACGAGAGGATTTGTATAGTTATATATGCATTTAATTTATATATGTATATGTGTAATAAATGAAAAATTAATAGAATTTCGCTAAATAAAACATAATTTTTAGATGAACCGACAATAATCAGTCTAAGAAATAAACTAAAATGTCGAATGAAACAGATACATTAATCGAATCTGCTGTTGTTAGTGAAGACAAACCTGTAATCTTGAATAATGACCAAACAGACACATCAACAACCAACGGCGGATTTCATTCAAATGGAACTAACCAAACCGAACAACCACCACCAGAACAACAAGAAATTGAATCAACAAAAAATAATTATGAAAACAGTGAACAACAATCATATAATAAACATGATTTAGAGCCTGAATCACTCCGAAAAGTTTTTATTGGTGGACTTTCGTATAAAACTGATGATCAAGTTTTCAAAGATTATTTCTCAAAACATGGAGAAATTGTTGTAAGTATAGACTTCTTTGATTTAACATCATGTTTTATTGAGAGTGACGACTGATAGATTAGCACGTTTAGTTAGCTGCCAGGGAATATAACGATAAGCATAGGAATCCATTCTTTTGTTTTTCTTTGTGAATAATATTCGAAATGTTCATAGGATTGCATTATAATGCGTGATCGTGAAGGTCGATCTAGAGGTAAATATAAATCAATTGATTAATATTTGTATTCATATTGACTTAATTAGGTTTTGGTTTTGTTACCTATGCTTCATCGACAATGGTTGACAGTTTAATGGCAGCTCGTCCACATGTTCTTGATTCACGTGAAATCGAACCAAAACGAGCTGTACCACGAGAAGAAAGTGGAAAACCCGAGTCATCGTTAAGTGCAAAAAAATTATTTGTCGGTGGTATTCGAGCAGATACAATCGATGAAAAAGATCTTAATGAATATTTCTCAAAAGTAAACAATCAGTTTTACAGTATATAATTAAGACGATATATTTTGTTTTTAGTATGGTCATATTATTGAAGCCGTGATTATGAAAACCAACGAAGGAAAATTACGTGGTTTTGGATTTGTTGAATTCGATGAGTAAGAATATTCAGTATTTATGAAAAGAAGATTAAAATTTGACTTTTGTTGTTAGTTACGATCCAGTAGATAAAATTGTATTAGAAAAACATCATGTTATTAAAGGAAATCCCGTTAATGTCGAAAAAGCACTACCCAAAGATCAGACAAATCGTGGTCGAATGTCAGCAGGAAACTACGGTGGACAAGGGGGTGCTGGCGGTGGTGGTGGTGGTGGCTTTGGTGGTGGAGGANGTGGTGTTTGTTGTGGTGGTGGTGGGGGCGGCGGCGGTGGCGGGGGTTGCGGTGGTGGTGGTGGCTATGGAGCTGGAGGAGATTATGGTAATCGTTCTGCGCCATATGGAGGTGGTTATGGTGGTGATATGGGAGGCAATAGTGGGGGTGGAATGATGGGCTATGGTGGTTCAGCACCTATGGGTGGTGGAGGAGGAGGTGGGGGTGGATATGGAATGGGAGGACCACCACGAGGTGGTTACGATGATGGTAAGAAAAAATCTTTGAATGAACTCGATATTTTATGATTCGCTTTCCTTCTATCAGGATTTGGAGCTTTCGGTGCAGCATCTGGCTTTGGTTTCGGTCAAAGTTACGGATCATCATCAGGTGGTGGTCCAATGCGACGTGGAGGTAGTGGTCGAGGTGGCGGTGCACCGTATGGTCGTGGTGGTGGTGGCCGTGGAGGTGGGGGTGGTGGTTATCGTGGCCGCAATTAACACAACACAAAAGAAAATGGAACATTTGTTATTTCTGCCCACATCTTTTTCTTTTCATTTTTTTGCTATGTTTTTGTGCGTATGCTTGTGTATGTATATATCAATAGCGAACAACAACAAATAGAGAATGGATTGTTTCTTCTTTTTTATGACATTATTCCTATATGATGCTCGATTGTCTTTTTTTATTTGTCCGAGCTATTCACATATAGGAAAACATTTCGTGTTTGTCTTGTTGATTCAGCAGTTTTCTTTTGTTTAAAACATAATTCTCCTTTGTTGTCTCCAGTTGCTGTTGTTATCTATGTCTATGTCTATGTCATTTTTGTTGATTGTTCTTTTGGATAAATAAACGCATGTTACATGTGATTTACAGCATCGAAAACTTTTTTTTATTAAGCATTGCTATAAGATTCTTAGTTATATATATATCGAAAACGATACGATAGTGATAAAAACAACAACAACAAAAAAAACCAACTACAAGAGTAAATAATAAGCATACACCCATACAAACAACAGCGCTGATTTTGTGTACATAATTATTTATTATCACTGTTGTGGACCTCGCGCTGTTCGCCGTCAAATTTGAGAAGAATGGACAAGTTCCACACAAAACAAAACTTGAATAAAAAAAACAAAAGTGAGAAATAAAGATCCCCAAAAAAGAGAGATTAAATGAATACAAATATTCTACGCATATGAATTATCGTTATGATAGAATAACGATAAGAAACAAAAACTTTGTACATATGATTGATGATGAATGCTTATAAAGTGATCGTTGTTGTTAACACTGTTTATTGAGACGAGATGATAACATGGTAGTTGGTCAATTTTCATTATGATGGTACGAGTCGCTGTTATACTATGAAGGAAAAACAAATAGAACTTTACATATTTTATTTCTCATCATAACTAATATGAATACATTCGAAAAAATAAATTCCATTGATTATAGCAATCAAATTTTATTTTTCGCTTGCCATTCTATCAATAGTAAAAGAAGAAATATGTATATATCTTTAAAAATACCTTCAATCTTGATACATGAAACTTCTTTCTTCAATTTTTTTAACATCACATATCAATATTCATTCTCTTAACTATCCACATGTAATCAATAATATCCATCCAACGTCTTTATTTCCACACATTTGTCTACTTCACCATGAGCTACATAACGAACGACTGACCAGTGCATCGGCGTCATTCGCTGACTTTATTTTTTCTTCTTCTCTCTTTCTCTCTTTTTTATCACTACAAAAAAAAACCGAAGAAAACTTTTCTCGTTCTCGTTCACTTGCATCGTCGCCGTTATATATATTTGCATTGATGTCTGGTCTATGTATCCGCAAGAGAATGACCGAGCATCAGTTGTTGGTCAATTGACGAAGAATTATCAAATAATACTATCGTAGAGAAAGAAAGAAGAAAAAAAAAGAATTGAATTTACACAGGAAGCAACTACCAATGTTGATGGCTTGTCGATGTGCACATGAATGAGTGCACATATGTCTAGACAGACCACTCTTCTAGCCTATTTAGTAGTCGCCGCTATTGTGAGACAGAGCGAACGGGCTACTAATGAATGTATACATATATAGATGTATATATATATATATATATATATATATAGTGAGGAATGTGTGAAAAGAATGAGAACATAACAAAACCGATGAGTTCAAATAGATGAATATTGTAATTTTCTATTACCAATGATTGGATATACATACACGCGTCTATTGAGACAAAGTTAAAAAGGATCAATGTAATCATGTTTTTTTCTTCTTCTTCTTCTTCGTACTACATATGACACTAGTTAAACAACCTTATCGTATATATATATAAACAATATTTTATCGTTATATCTTAATATAAATTATTCATATTGTTGAATACGAGAACATATGATTGATAATAGGGGGTACTTAGTTTTAATCACAGCTATTCAAAGTCATTTCATTTCATGCAGATGAGTATAAGCGCAATTGATAATATATTCGCATCAATTAGCATTATGATACAAGATGAACAAATAAAAGTTCAAGATTAGTAATCGAATTGATCCTAAAAATAATAGATTTCATAACAATAGCTGTTTTTCTTTGTAAATAACATGTTTTATAATCTTTTACTCCAATTGATATTGATGTCGGGATTGAGAGTGCTTCATTTTTTTATCGCTATATTAAATTTCATCTTCGATCCAATCGAAGGACTCTTGTGTTTTATTTATTTTGATTCTCTTTAGAAATAAGAAAAGGCTATTGAACAATGAAGTATTTTGTTTTTTGTCTGTTGCTTGATCATCAGATAATCTTAAAAAGTTCCTTTCAACAAATGATTTATTCTATACCTCTTTTTATATATCGATTCGATATCGGATCGTATCTATCAATTATCATGTCTACTATAATTGTGCTAATAAAACGAGCTATGAATATGAAATCAGTAGACCTATTTTATCAATTTTACCCTAATAAAAATATCATCATTTGTAAAGAGCAAAACGTGATCATTAATAATACAATCAATACTAAGACAAATTACCTATGTTGCACATCACAGAATTCTACGAAAAAAATTCGAATATTTTCACTTTATTCGAGATTTCTGTATCTCATAGTTTTCTATTCTTAGAAATCCAATTCTACATAGACTAAAAAATCTTCATTCTGGCAAGCTGATGTTACTCTTCCACATTTTCATTTACTTGTCATAGAAGTTTTTTCTTATGAGAAACCGATTATTATAGAGTACACTAGAATTAACAATATTGTTTAGTTTTATAGTTCTGAAAGATTTATTGCACAAGCGACCTTGACTTGATACAACTGGTTTTTAAGCAATACACCACGGAACATTAATTACTCTAATGATATGGACACACTATCATACATATGCGACCTCTATCTTCAATCTGATTCGGTTATTAATTCTCAGATAAAGCCAGTCATTCAGACATCATTCTACCCACGTGCTGTTTTTCTTCTTCTCTATTTTTTTATATCACAAAGCGTTTCATCACATAAAAAAGAACAAAAATGCTTGAAGTTGAAATCACACAGCAACGTTCTATTCATACGACAAAATGGGAAATCGTTCTTGGTATGTACATTATTCATAGTTAAAACAAGCAGTTCAATATATTCTTTTCTAAAAATTTTCGCTACGTTCAGGAATGTCTTTCTATCAAGTTATCAAATTACTTAAACTGAACGATGATCAAATTAAATCGGTTACATTAGTTTATAATGATAAAGTAAAGAAAATGAATCGAAAAATTGTTTATGTTTCTTCTTTTGTTGTCTTTGAAGGATCCATTGAGTGCAGATTATACACTTAATTTATCGAATGACAGTATTTTACTTCATTTTGATTCTATAACTCAACGATTGAAGGTAAGATAATCGAACACGATCAAGTATATCCATTGGTTTTGTCTTTCTTAAATAGCTGATTGAATTATATGATTTAAAAAAAGTAAAGCTGAAGTATTTGTAAGTAATATGAAACTGTTATTTTTCAATTACAAAGAAATTTTCTTTAGTGGTAATTACTTTAATAGTCCTCAAATTGTACCGACGATCGAAAATGTCAATGAAATATTTGGACCAACAAGACCAGGAGGTGAGCAAAAATAAATTTTCATGTTAACTATTCAAAATTTAAATATTAGATTATAATCGTGAGAGTCAATCATTCTTAATGCATTTCCCTGGTTTGACTTTTTTTTTCAATCAAATTGGGCCACAAGTTGAAGTAATTTGTTGTGCGTTGAATTAATGTAATATAATTTTTATTCCATAGACAAAGTCAATGCATGGTCTTCATTCACTTCAATTTCCACCTGGTCAATCACCAGTTGTATCGAAAATATATATCTATTATGGAAATGTTCCACTAGAATATACTGTTCCACCATTACCAGTCAGCTGTTTTAATCGTTCAGTTTTTCTCGATAAATTATCAAATCTTGTCGAAAATCAAAAAACTATCGGTTTGGCATGCCGATTAATGGTTGAAGGTTTGTACTGCAAACAAAATCTGAGTCTTTATTTCAAATATGAAGTTGACAATCGTAGTTCAGCAAAAAAAAGATCAAATTATTGTCATTCTGTAGAATTGTTATACATTTTTAAGCTACGAAAAAAAAACTTTAATAAGAGAGAAATGATTATTTTTATATTGAATCAGTAAACATCTGTTGAATTTGAAATTTTACTATAGAAAATCTACTCAGACGAGACAAGTATTCTTAAAACAATGAAATTTTTAATCGATTCGCCTATGACAAGAAAAACATTCGTTTTTAATGAAACTCTTAGTCTATGATAAGGATCATAAGACTTTGTTATCGCTTGAATCTCAAGTTGAAATGACGATTTTGAATTTTCAATGATATACTCTATATTAGGCTTAATTTCAACAGGTTTTCAGGAGTCATTAAAAAGCTTTATCTGATAATTAGTAGTGATCAATCAAATATGAAGTAAAATTTAACATATTTTTATTTAGCTCATACACCAAAGCCATACGATCCAGACGATCATATCGATTATCTCGATGCAACAGTTCATTTCGATGATACTTGTCAAGTATGTTTCGAATAATATTCTTGCATAAGTATTCATCTGTGTATCTATTTAAGGATGTTCTATCGATTATCGGCAGTCCAAACAGTGTTTATTATAAAACTGATGATAAAATAAAAATTCATAATCCATCGCCACCAATATCATTAGGACAACGTGCACAAGATAAATCAGATTTCTATTACAATTATGTTAACTTCGGCATGGTATGATCTTGCAAAAATAAAAAAGAGTAGATATTTTTGTAATTATAATATTTATTTAAAGGATATTTTATTCGATGGTCAAAGTCATACAGTGAAAAAATTTATTTTGCATACAAATTTTCCTTGCCATTATCTTTTTGATAGGTAATAAAGAACAAGTTTTTTTTTCATATTTATTTTCACTACATCAATTTTTAGTTATTTTCCGTGTAATTTTGAATTGATGGTACGAAATTATACTACAGGAAAAGAGATCATTGTAACTCCATCGACTCGAGTAGGAATTTTCTTAAATCATTCACCGATTTATATTTCCGTGTTTTGTATTTCAGTGGTCAGCTATTCAAGAAATTTTTGAGAATCGTCCTTCACCAGCTATTCTTCATCGTTCATCATCGACGAATACAACAAATCCATTTGGACCAACATTTTGTCACCTCGTTAACGATGATATGATTTTTGAAGTCATGTCCAACGGATATATTGCTTCAATTAGCTTTTTCAATGAACGAGATTAATCTTTTAAATTTTTTCTTTTCCGTATTTTTCTTTTCGAACTTGTACCTTCTTTCATGCTTATATACATTCGCTTGTTTATCTATATTCTATTTAAAGGTATTTTTGTGTTCTTTATGTATTCAAATGTAAATACGATAACCGGAGAACTCCCTCTTTCCAAACAGAAAGCAAGCAACCATTAAGCAGCAAAAAATATATTCTTTTTCAGATGGCAACAGGATCATTAGCTGGCCGAGTCGCGCTTGTTACAGGAGGATCAAGAGGTATTGGCAAAGGTATTGCTCTTGAATTGGGAGGTGCTGGTGCTCTTGTTTATGTCACAGGTAGAGATACTTCTTAACCTGTTTTTGTTTCGTATAATATATGTATATATGACATCAAGGTCGTACCATGACATCCACAAATGGTAAAAGTGGAAGTTTAGAAGAAACTGCTGAAGCTGTAAGTATTTTTTTAATGTTTCGTATCTAGATTTGAGACTGCGAAATATTGACTACTTTATTGAGAAGTGTTAAAATCAAAGGGAGGGCAAAGGTTTGAATTTTAGTTTCTCGTATGAAATTCCTATGTATCCAATGAGAAGTTGATACAATCTTTAGTATTTAGCGATGTGATTTCTAATATTCAGAGTAATTCATTTAAATCTGGTAATATAGTTTTAGCGTAATTGGCGATTTAAATTGATCGGCTGACGTGTCACGACCTGTATTACATGAACGATTTCCGTAAAGTTTATTTGAAGAACTAAATTTATTTGTTTAGATTCGAAGTCGCGGTGGTCAGTGTGTTCCTGTATGTGTGGATCATGAAAATCCAAGTGAAGTTGAAGCGTTATTCGAACGTATCAAGAACGAACAGGATGGTCGATTGGATATTTTAGTTAATAATGCTTATAAAGGAGTTGAGGTATTGAGCAAAGATTGTATTAAGAATTTCATAGTATGTTTTCGATTGTTTATAGCGTTTATTATCTGTTTCCGGTAAACCATTTTGGGAAGATGATCCAGATGTATTCGATGAAATTAACAATGTTGGTTTACGGTAAAATAAAATCATTAAATACTCAATGTTTTATGAATCGGTTTCTTTGTATGATAGCAATCATTATTATTGTTCAGTTTATGCTGCTCGATTGATGGTTCCTCGAAAGCAAGGTTTAATTGTATTTATATCTTCGGCAGGTGGTCTTCGTTATTTATTCAATGTAGCCTATGGCGTTGGAAAAGCTGCTGTTAGTTTTTTTTTGTTGATGAATAAGTTTTTTTTTATTGAACGAATTTCAGTGTGATCGTATGGCTGCAGATACTGCATTTGAATTAAGGAAACAAAATATTGCTTCCATTGCAATTTGGCCAGGCCCGGTTGAGACAGAAGTTATTCAAGCATCAGAAAACGGAGCTGGAGTAAATATCGATTTGAATATTTTTTTCTGTGTTTGAGAAATTAAATTAATAATTTCTCATCTATTCAATAGTTTCGTAAGATGGTCAAGGATTTCGGTAAAGCAGAATCTACAGAATATGCTGGCCGTATCATCGTTCATCTAGCACAAAGTTAGTTTTTATTAGTGAACAAACATCAATAAAAAAAATTTCTTTTTTTACTTCAGATCCATCAGTAATGCAATATTCAGGGAAAATAGTTACAACAGTTGACTATGGTACAACTTATGGTATAGTTGATAAAGATGGTATAGATTGTTGTTTTTTTAATTATTTAATACTTGAAATTCTTTTCAATGAACCTATTTAGGTGCGTATCCAAGCAACATGCGATGGATCGGTCGATATCTTCGATATGTACCAGGTTTAAGTTGGTTATCTGACTGGATTCCTGGCTGTGTCAAAATACCTTTTTGGTTGTTACATCAAGCTAGCAATAAATTTTAAGATTGGCGAACAAAAATTTATTTCAAAAATATTTTATATGCTTTAATTTCGCTTTTGATTCTTATTGTTTTTTTTTTGACAAACTTTATGTCTTAAAATAAAGCTGACAGCATATTTTGCATTAGTTTTTTTAATTATCCTAGATAAAGATTAATGTCACTCTTTTCTTTTCTTTTTATCATTATTTCCTTTTTAATATTATGATTTGCCATTTGCATCAGTATCATAGTAAAGAAAAAGAAGCTAAGTCATATTTCATTTTTAGATCGGAACAAATTTTATACTGAATAAGTATCTTATCTTGTGGACAGATTGGTAAAGATTGCGTTTAACAATGGGTGACTTGTATGAAATCATCGAATGGTAAAAGGGAAAATTTATTCCTCTGGATTGACAATAAAACTGGTGAGTCTATTCTTTGGTATCTACTCATCAATGTGGTCCGTAATTGATACTGTTGTTGTAAAATTAAAAGAATCGCAGCATGCCATTATTATCATTATGACCTAATCTATTCGCAATGCATGCTACTCTCATTAGCTTATCATGAACATGTGAAAATATGATTATGAAGAGAGTCATCAGAAATCTAAGCAACATTCATCTAGACTTGTTTTCATCGTCTATGTTCGAAACATTTGAAATCATGCCTAATACTATTTTACTCTACCTAAGAAGAACATTTACGTGTAGTCGACGGATATTATTAATAGGCTGTATTGAATGTTCCCAGCGCTTATCTAAAAGATATGGTTCAATTAAATGTTATTAATATATCATGTAACAACGAGTTTCGATGGGACCTAAACGAATGTCAAATTATCAGTACACTTTACTAAAAGTGTATCGAAAAAATGACTGATTTGATGTGACATGTTGAACTTGACTGGAATTTCCACGCATTTCACATAGTCTCGTAGACTTAATCTATTAGAACGTGACTACTGGGTCGTTGTCTTCTTTACGATATCTCAACGCGTTCGTTAATCTAACATTATTTTGTATTATGTTGATCTTAATACTAAAGCTGCTATTTCTTCTTTTTTAAGATTCATCATGGATGCAGTATACAAGGAAAATAATTACTGCTGCTTTTAATGCACTAACTCATGCAAATACGGATATAGCTCGCATGTAAAACAATATATGATTGTTATTGAATTAATTCTTTAAGTTAATATTTATATAACATGCCTTCATGGGTATCCCATAGAAAATATACTTTATCTAAATCTATTATTATCATTGATTCCAAATTTCTTTTTCTCACGACGTCTTATTGATTTATATAACACCAATTTTATCATGACTTTTTGTTAATTCTTTTCAACGGAATTATATAATTTGTGCTGGGTTTAAAAAATTTTTGATATAGAATCAAATTGCTATTTTCTAAAAGTATTTTATGCGAATTTGTTTTTCAGATGGCATCGGAGATAAAATTTACTCAAGACACAATGAAACAATTTAATGTAGCTAAATCATTCACGGTTAATAAAGATCGTATAAATGCCATGAATTTTTCCCTTGATGGTGAGACACTTGTATCATCGAGTGACGATGATTCTATTGTTATTTATGATTGTAAAGAAGGAGAGTATGTATTAACCTATTTCTTTTTTAAATGATAATATATATATAAATATTATCTTTAGAACGAAACGAACGTTATTCAGTAAAAAATATGGCGTTGACCTTATACATTTTATTCATGGAACCGAACAAGTTTTACATGGTTCAACTAAAGTTGACGGTATGTACTAGTTTTAATTTTAAAAAGAAACCTTCACTACTATTGGTTATTATATTCTAGATGCTGTTCGATTATTACAATTAGAAGGAAACAAATACATACGATACTATTCAGGACATACAAAACGGTAAATTTATCTAAAATGATTGAGGGCAACCAATGGGAACGTATTTCATGAAATATACTTTTTCGGGAAGTTTTCCAATAGAAAACATTTCGTTTTGGAAAAAAAGATATTTCAGATGAAAATTTTCCGAAAGGAAAATTGCTTTGTTTGATAGGGTCTTGTTAGTATTCGAATTTTCTTATAAAATTCGATACGAATGAATGCCTAGTCCGTTCAATCTATCTAACGATATATGAAAGTGACTGAAACATAAAGAATTTATTGTAATAGCTTTTGAATTTATTTATTTTTCGTCTTTTAGTGTTGTAAGTTTAAGTATCGCTCCAACAGAAGAAACATTTCTAACTTCCTCAGTCGATAATACATTGCGTTTATGGGACGTACGCATTCCAACAGCTCAAGTAAAAAGAAAAACGACAAATCTTAAAAAGTTGGATGTTCATCATTCTCATTTTTAACTTATAGGGACTTCTGAATGCACAAACAACATCTGGACCAGCTAGTCGTCCAGTTGCTAATTTTGATCCTGAAGGTATTCCTAATGGTCAATCAAATATTTGAAGCTATTTCTTTGCTATTGACGCATAGGTGTAGTATTCGCTGTTGGTGTTCAATCATCATTGATCAAACTATTCGACATTCGCCATTTTGATAAAGTATGCAAACCTACCGACAGGTATTTAAAGTGAAGATGAAAATAATAATATTAATTTTGTTTTCTTTTTTATTTTCAGGGACCATTCGCAACATTTCGACCGTTAGATAACAATGATAGCAATGACAAACAAGCAACAAATGCAAATCAATCGAACGAACAATGGACACATTTGAAATTTAGTCCCGATGGAAAAATGATATGCATTGCAACGAATGGTACTAGTCTGCATCTTATTGAAGCATTTCAAGGTTTACCAATACATAGATTTAATGTAAATTTATTTATATGATTGATCTATGAGCTAATAGGGAATCTTTTATCGTTAGGATATTGTTAATGATCGAAAAGAACCGTTACAATGTTGTTTTAGTCCTGACTCAAGTTATATATTATGTGGTTAGTACTTCTCTTAAATCTAATAATTACAATTTCTTTTTTTTTTGACTCGCTCAATAGGATCAGGTGATAATCGTATTTTGATTTATAAAGCTGAAAGTGGAGAAAAAGTTATCGAAAAACAGGTTTGCTGTTCTACAATTGTATTTAAATCTATCATCAATGAGGATATATTTTAGACAGAGCATAATGGTGCTATACAATGTATTCAATTCAATCCAGCGTTTCTTATGTTTGCTACAGCTCATAACAATATGGTTGGTTCTTTTGTAGTAAACCCTTCTTTTTTTTGTTCTACTTTATTTCATATATTTAGTTATTCTGGTTGCCAATTATCGACTCACAACCAGCAGATGAACTATCATCATAGTGATTATCGAACTTATATATATATATATATATAAATCTTTTTTTTCTTTTGTTTGATATTAATTTATCTCATGTCACGCGTTCTGTCATTTTTTTCTCTTCAATTTCGAAGCTTTGCTTTTTCTTGTTAGAAATTATCTACTACTTCCATGCGGTTCATTTGTACTGGTCATCATGCACTTCCAAACGGTCGCTTTTGCAACACATTAGTTCATGTTGTGCATGTTGAATTAGATACACTAGAACTTGTTGTTTGCTGCTTTAAACGATCCAGATTTTTGCTGTTTTGTAAAAAACGATATACAAACAAATTACGATGAAAAAGAATTTTACTGAAAATAAAAAAATTTTCGAGATGATTTTTCATCACAAAATAATTAATGAATGAATACAATTGTTTAAAACGAAAAAGGATTGATTGATGATGCAATCGAGTATGTGCGTTGAAATCGCATCTATCAGCCCGCTAACAATTACGATGCAAGTGATTTTATCCTATAAAGAAAAATTTTAAGGATCGAAATTTTTTGTTACGATATCAAACCAATACAATATTCTGATGGTAAATTAGTGATGTTAGTCAACTCGTATGTTCATAACTTTGATATGTTCAGTCATAATATGACGCCCATATATATTAGTAATAGCGATTCGTCTTAAATTTCTCGATTCGATACTATGTTGTTGAGCCAATTATGACAGAAATCGTTCCTTGTGACCACGATATAGTTAAAATCAGTACATATGAGTAATGCAGTCAATTCAGTGCGAGGAATCTGAATCAATTCGATCTTATTTCATGAGTTACAGCTGCCATCAATCATCCCGTACTACAAGACAAAAGTATTCTACTTTACTTGATAACATCATTAAAGACTGCATTTTTCTTCATTGACGAACTTCAGAATCATCATTGAATATTCAGAACCAAACTTATTTTAATTTTTTTAAATGGAACCATGTACGTCACTTTATTACAAATATTCGACTGTATCAAGTGCAGAAAAACAATTGCTTGTTGCCGTGTTTGATCAGCGATAATTTTATAAGAAAAACAAGAATGAAATTATTACTAACTATTATGTAGTGTAAGACTGATATAATAGATTATAAATAGAACAGAATAAGAAATTTGTAATTTAGAACATCGTAAAATAATTGGATTCAAATTAATAATCTAAGACAAAGTATATATCGCATCATAAAACGTGATTCAGCTGTAAGGTATCATCGTGAAAAAACAATTTATCAATATTTAAGTAAAAAAAAATATGAATAAATATTCAAAATCTTCTAGTGAACGATATTCAATGAAATACAGTTTATTGAAAAATTCATGGAAAATAAAATCTCACAATACAAAGAAAATAGTTCTGCTTTGTTTGAAACAAAAATTTATTAATGCATCGGCACAATGGATCTTGGTTGTTTTTTAAATATTGTTGTCGTAAAATTAGATAGACAAGCCAAGAGAGTAAATGGCAATAAATCGGGTATCATGAAAAGTAGAAAAAAAAAAAAATTCACTTGAATACTTGTTAATACCGATGTAGGTGCAAATGTTGTAATAAGTCCATTTATTGTTAATGGAAACCAAAATGCCATATAGACAACTGCGATTAAAACAAGCTGTCTAGTTAATTTATATTGTCGACGCCATACAATTTGATGGTGTCGTTTTTGCCATACTATTCGAAATATTAAGCTTCCATTCGCTATTGCAATAGCAGATACAGGAAATACCACATTCCCAATGAAATCATAAGTTGCTAGAGCTTGTTGAGCAGTCAAATAGCATGGTATTTGACAGAAAACCTTAAAATAAAAATTCGAAATAACCGTGTAAATTTTAGTTTGACTTGAAAACAATTCCTAAACGATGAAAAACTAAAATAATATTTACCGCATCATAATTCCATTGATTCGTACATGTATTTAATATCATGACAGCGAAATAGAATATTCCAGGATAGAAACAAACTACTACCATTGGCAATATATGAAAAAGGAGTTTATTTCGTCTTGTCGCCAGGGCTGCTCTATTAAAAACAAGTATATGTCGTTCAATGGAACCCCAAGCCATAACAAATAACAATAAACCATTAATGGAATATTCCCACCAATTCCACCATAGACAAAAGCTAGACGATGCTCGAATAACTGTACCACGATGGTAATAAGCCATAATGAATGGAAAATTTATTGTCAATTGTAAGAAACTTCCTATAGTCAATAGTAAAGTTAAGTGATGATAAATTGAAATTTTGCGTTGTTGTTGATAGAAATAGATGAAAATTAAAATCGAACAAATTGTAGATGGAATGGTTAAAGTAAGTAAAACCCAAAATTTGAGTTGTTCAAGCCAGGTCATTTTAGTGTTAACTGCAGTCTTCAAAATTAGATAGGAACGCAATAGATGGATTCTTTTTGCATGAAACCTTGTAAAATGAGGATCATAGATAGAGAAAGTAATTAATAATCTATGAATTACTATTCATTTCTATAATTCTTTTTTTTTTATGTACGTAATTGGTAAGTATATCAATTAGTTTATTTATGCATCTACAACAATGTGACCCTGCAATAAAAGATAAACTCAGTAACTTTGCACCTCGATTACTTTAGGGTAATTTAAAAAAAAAAAAGCATCATGACTACTTCTCTACTTGAGATTCTACAACGTAAATTACAAACAATTAATTATGACTGATAAATGTTAATTGATTTCGTTGGCAGAAAAACTTGATTAAAATGCTAAATACTTATAGTGTGGCATCGCAAAGATTCTTTCTATATTTCTGTCTAGTCGTACGCATAAAAATTTGAGATTTTACATCGGAATGATCTCTGGAATCGAAATTCACACAAAACTTGTCTGGCCGATAAATTAAAATATCAAGATAGAACTACGAGGCACCATTCGAATATAAATGGCATCCTAATTTGTATTTTCAAACATTCATTAAATTAACAATTCACGTAGTATTCAAATTCTTAGAAAAATCTATTCCTGTCTATATGCTGAATAATAGATTTAGCTGAGTGGCTGTGAGCCGATCTTTAAGAGATGCTAAAAATAAGTTTGAAAGAAGAAAATTCACGTTTTCTTTTTTTATAACAATACGGCCTCATTCACTCTTTCGGTGATAGAACTGACTTTTTTGTGTAGCATTATAGGTATTCTTTTTAATAAAATAATAGACATAGAAATCAAGAAAGTTGCCTACGTTTACCAATGATTTGAATCAAACGAATCTTTAGTAGATGGGTTCATAGAGAAACGCATGCTCTCTTTTTGTTTGCTGTATTGGAAATCACTTTCCCCTTCTATTCAAAGTATCTTTGTATATATCAAAACTCGATTGAACTTATTTTACATTCTGTTCGAATAGCATTTCATAATTGTTGAACCAAAAATCGCTTTCTTCCAATTTGCAAGCCAAATTCAAAATAAAACGAAATCATGAAAATCTCGCTCTAGTCGATTGCTTTCAAATTTCAGCAGTTCTTTGTAGCAGACTGAAAAATACGCAAACATTTTGCCAAATTGCTTTTCAATAGCCTGTCATTTTCCCATCGTCAAGTACTAATCTTCTATTGACAATCTAATGTCATTGTCTATGGTTGCTCTCAGAACGATATCATTTCTCGTTGTCATCTTATTTGCCACTCAAGTATCTAATAAGCGAGGAGTTTAACTGTTTAGATCATTATATATCGTCTTGCATCATCCTTCTATATTCAGTGGGCTATTTTAATCTAGAGACAAAAAAAAACAAATCAAAATCTTGAAAGAAATAAAAACTGTTGCTTTCAATACACTAAAATCAAAAAAAAAACAATCCAATGAAATACAAATGAATAGTGATCAATGATGAAAACTGCTGATTGTATGACTGAAACAATGATGATATTGTTGTTGTTTGTACATCACGGTAGAATAATTTATAATTAAAATAGTTTACTTCTGTTCGTTTCTATGTAAATGAAACAGTAAACCGATGATAATTATTATTTATGCAAATTATAAAACCATACAAATCACTTGACTAGTTTTGTCTCTAAGGAATATTTTCGATAATTAGAAAATTTCAACAAACACTAATAATGATCCGTTGATACATTCTTTACCAATTAAACAAGTTTATTTTACTAAACGTGGTAATTTGATCGTGTTCGCGTATTTTTACAGTCGTGCACGTTTAGATCAAACAAAATTTTCTAAGAAATCTCTAGTGTCTTGAAAAGTTCGTCATCGATGTGTACGATCTGATAAGACGCACATAGACACACGCGTCGGCATAGAAAAAAAATAATAAAACAAACCGATGAACAACATTCCGCCGCTACCGATTTGTATCAACATAAAACAAAGACGAGCTCAAATGAATTTTTGTTTCCTAACGAGATTCTATCTCTTGCTATGCTGGTGTTAGCTTGATGATGATGAACAGAGAAGAAATAAAACTCATTCGTATACTTTGATCTATCTATTTGCCTTCGTTTAATATGTGGAAAAGAAAGTCTTAGAAAATAATTAGCTAGCATTATACATCATCTACTGATTAAATAACAATCCTTTCTATGCTTGTTGTTTGTTTGAATCTCCTGGTTCTATTTTTTTTTGTTTCTCGCTTTATCATATGTCTGTTCTACTTATCGATAAAAATGATTACAAACATATATACGAACATTGTTGGTGCTTCTGCTTACTGTCGCCTGCTTTATCTTGCTATGAAAGGCTGTTCAAGCATATATATATTCATATATGCGGTGCATTGACTTGAAAGATTAATAGAAGGTGATAACAAGACAATGCTCTGTGATTAGCGTTTTTCAGATATGTAATTACTAAGTCGTCTGTAATGACATGGAGTAAATAGAAAGATAGTGATGTGATGATGAGAACAAGCCATCGTCCATCAATCATGAGACAAATTTTGAAATATTTTTGTCTTGAAATCGTTGATTGGATATTAGTATTTTTTTTCCGCTATCGCAACGAAGGACATCATCAGTAGAAACAGCCAAAGAAAATAACGCATGATCTTGATGGACGAATGATGAATTGATGTGTTTATATTTCATATGACGAGCGTTCACTTTTTATCCCGTCATTAAGACGCGTGCGTAGTTTTGCTTAGGTAACCACTTTGTATATATATATTTGTTTGGAAACGGGCCACCTGTTGATAGATACTGCTCATTTGTCTGCAGATTTAAAGCATCAAAAATACATTTAGAAGAGTCATCTTTTCTTTTTTTATTTTTGCGTTTTTTTTTTATCCATATGGATAACTCGTCTTGCTCTCTATGTGCAAAATAAATGATTGATCGAGACCGAGCGGTGGACGACGTCAAGAAAGCTGTTTACGAATTATTATTATGTGTATGTGCATAGAAAATCCACGCCCGTTTAGTTATTGCTGATGCTAAGCAAGTGTGCTGAGGGGTGCCATTAGAAAGTCATTTTTCACGCCAATATCCACCTTTCTGCTTGACGGACACAAACCTTTTAGAATAGATAGAATATATATATATATCTATATATCAGGAAAAGTAACTAACAATAAGAATATAAAAGGCTGCGCCATCATTTTTTTTCATGCTAGTATGAATCAATAGCAGAAGGGGATAAGAAGGCTAAATCGATCATATAGAAAATGTGTGCTCTAAGTCAACATGATATGAAGGTCTTTGATTATAATGAATACAAAAGACATCGTATTAAGAACGACACAGAGAGATATTTGATCAATAATCGATGAAGTTGTTGATGTAAGACAAAAAAAATAAAAATAAAAAAAATTCTTTTTTTAAGATATTAGGTTTTATATTCTTAATCGTATCACCAATGATTATGTAGTATGCCCTTTCGATTTTTATATGTAATTACAGTCATATATATATATACCGTATATATGTATATATGTAAATGTCACTAATTCAAAAATGATATTTTTTTGTTTCAATCTTTTTATCATCACAGTGAATTTATAATAGTTCGGCAAGCAAAAGAAACAACAAGTGTTGAAAGACAAAATGTTTACACTAACTTATATACCATTGGAATCGCAACAACAGGCCATTCGATGATAGTGAAAGTGATGATGCCTGTCATCATCAAGCCCAATGTCCCTTGGTATATGTCAATTGATAATTAGAAAAGACGTTCTCTCATACACATACATATGATCTCTCTCCCAAACATAGTTAACATTGCGCTACTGCTCCACGTGCTAAATAGATCTGTTCGTTCTCATTCTTTTTTTGGGCATACATATTCATATATTTCCTATGTTGTCTGATCATAATCTATCATCATTGGTATAAGTAAAAAAAAGCAATAGTGATTGAACAATAATGCACATCATCAAAGCACTTATTCGGTTAACTGATCATTGAAATAATTTGTAATAGGAAACAATGAAAAAGAAATCGAAAAAATTATCACTCATCCTGAACGTATGATTGGCTAAACATCAAATAGATATATATATATATATATGCGTATAACGAAAAAGGAAGTCGATGTTCCGCTGGGAATATTATATAAACATGTAAGAATGAACTCCAATGAAGTAAAGCAATGCCATTAAACAAGTCGTTGCAAATGAGATGAAAGATACGTTACAAGAATAGATACAGTCTGGTATATCACTCAAAAAATTCTCATAGGATGATATAATACTAAGCGAGCATATTGATTTTTCTCTTTTGTTACAAGATGCTCATCGTCATCGTACAGGTTGTGTAAAATGATAGAAAAGGAAAGCACGTCGTTAGGATGTGATGTGTACAAGTTAATTTTTTGACTCGTCATCATTGGGATATTGTACGTGCTCGGCACACACGAGTCGTCAATCAACCAACATTTTTTCTCTGTCTCTTGTCTGTTCCTTTTCTCTGTGTGTGTGTGTGTCTATACATATGTATGTGTATGTGTGTACGTACGTTTGTATGTATGTATGTATGATAAACAATATTTTGAACGTGTTCTCGCCGAGTGATCAGTTGCAAAAATATCAGCAGACGCGCTCTCATGAATCTATTATACGAACCAATCAATGATGGTAATAGTAGACAAGTTTTATTAGTAGCGAGCGAGAGAGAAAGCGAGAGAAAACGAGAGCCGAGCAGGTTGGTAAAAAGCAAAAGCTGCCAAATGACAGTGGCAAAAGGGCAAGATAGATCGATACTTGTTCGTCTCTGGAGTGTTGATAAGTATAAACAATTATGGGCACTGACAGCGACAAAACAGAAATGATGGAAGAAAATGATGAGACCTATTTATTTCCTTTTAGGCTTGCCGCTCTTTATATACATGTATATGGTGGATAATGTGTCTGCTCGTCTTTCTTTTACTACAACTACACGTTCTTTTTCTCTTCTAGTCATTATCACTAGAATCATCATACATACGCCTTGACAAGCCATCAGTAGCGAGCATGTGACCATATCGCATATAGTTCTACTAAAGCAGGTTATCTTCTCTCCACCCTTTCTCTATATAATATACAAAACAAACCGTCAATCTAAATCAATCGAATCTGGCTATCACATGCAGATATACACTCGTTTTTATTTTCTTGCAACCTGCGGAAGCGGCAGCAATTGAGAAGTCTGTTTTTTCATCATTAACACTCATTAAAGCGGAACTCTGCTTATGTTTAATTTAACGGTTGTTCGCTTGTTCTTTTAATATTCTCCTTGAACATATATAGATATGCACAGATCGATTGAGATCACGAAAGAAAAAGTGATTTATGATCGCAAAAGTCGTTTACTCTCAAAAAAGAAGAAAAACAAGAAACGATACGTTTCATAAAAAGAAATCAATAATGACATACACACATAGATTTACATGTATGTACATTGGTCAAGTGACTTTTTCTCTTAGAGCAAGTAAACAGGACACCAAATAACAATCGTCGCCGGCTATGATCATGGCGGTAAATCCTAAGCCTTACGCAAACTCACAACAATTACAACTTGTCACACGAAGGCTCTAACCATCGATCGAATACGTAGTAAAACAAAAAAGAAGAAATAGATGATGAAAAATTGACGGACGGCGGGAAGCTCTCCGAGACGGAAGTTCCTTTTTTGTGTGTGTCCGTCGCATACGATTCATTGTCGTCTCGACGGTGATACAAACGAAGGTACTTCACACTGAAATATATGCTACAAAGAGAGAGCACTAAACAGTACAGGTATTGAGCTCGCGCCGCACGATCCAAGTGTTCATTTCCTGCTAGATCGCTCATTCAAGTGCAGCATCGGACCCAACACGCACACCCACAAAAAAAAGAAAGAATAAAGAGTAAACAATGAATTGAAATAGTACCGTCGACTTTTATACTAATTTGCCATAAATATAAAATTAAAGAAAAAGACAGAAAATATCTTATTATGAATCTTTTTTTTAATGTGTAAAGAACAAAAAAAAGTGTGACAAAAAATGTATGTGAAGGTCAGTTAGTGAAATAAATACACAACAATTGAAAATACAACAGAATGAATAGGGAACACAACAACAAGACAAAATACTTGCCAAATACTTGAAGGATATGTCAAAGCGAAAATGCAGCAGGCACAATCATTGTTGTACTGGTACAATCATCAGCTGAAGAATGATTCGTTGATGTCGTTTCATGTTGTTGTTGTTGTTGTTGTTGGTGTTGTTGTAAACAATTTTCCGTATGCTTATTAAGTAATGACATGCGTGAAAATGTTTTTGAACATTTTGTACACCGGTACTTTTTAATATCCGAATGTGTTTGCATATGTGCACGTAAATTTGACCGATCCGCAAATGCTCGACAACATATTTCGCATTGAAATGGTTTTTCTCCTGTATGCGTACGTACATGTCCTTGTAAAAGCCATGGACGTGAAAATGCTTTACCACAAATTTTACATTTACATGGTAAAGTATGTGTACGTATATGCATTTTAAGTGCACCCAATGAATTATATGTTTTTTCACAAAATTTACATTGAAATTGTTTTTTAATTTGTGCAATACAATGAAATTGTTTATGTTTTGAAAGACCACCAAATGTTGAATAAGATTTTGAACAACCATCACATTGGTAACGTGAATTTGTTGTGTTTGAATTTGAATTTAGATGTGTTGTTGTTGTTGTTGATGATGATGATGATGTCGTCGTGGTTGTTGTTGTCATTGCAGTTAGATTGGGTGATGGTGGTGATGATGAACACGATGAAGATGTTGGCGTTAATGGATAAGATGATTTTAAAGGCTTTTTTATTGAATTTATATTCGCATCTAATAATGACGGATTTGATAAAGATAATGGTGATTGTGGTATTTGACCATTTTTTGATAATTGCATGGCAAAATAATGATAACTAAGATAATACAGATAGGAAAAATCATTTGAAGACATTACACGTGGAATCATCATTGTCGATGGAGACATTTTTGGGAACGCTCTATGAAGATTTTGTGTTGATTCTGTTTGGAGTTTTTCATTTTGATCTTGTTTATGTTCAATATCTTTAACCATGTCATGATTATCATTTTCATCATCTTCTTCTTCTCCTTCTTCGTCATCATCATCGTCGTCTTCTTCAGTTCCAAGCATTGATTCATTAGATGATGATGCAGATAACAAACTTGATATAAGAAAACTTTTTCGATTATCAGATTCTATTGGAAAAGAAAACAGTTAAAAGTCGTTGTTGTTTTTTTTTCTTTGATTGAATAATTTTAATAAAACTTACCAGTCATTGTTTCTTCCTCAACGATATTGCTTGTAGTAGTAGCAGTACTACTCATCATCATTTTCTTCTATTCAGATGTGGGAGTATCGTCTTCTTTCATACTGTCCTCTTCTTCTTTTTTTTCTTCTTCTTCTTCTTCTTCTTCCTCTTCTCTTCTCTTCTATCGTTTTCTCTGTCCTTTTTCTCTCTATATATTTTCTCACTTTTTTATTCGTGCTCCTGTTCTTTCTCTTGTTGCTAATGCATGATAATGCTAGCGCGTATTCTGATAGGTTCTTCTAATGCGCTTGTTATTGCATAGCGCACTGACTGCGTTTCTCTTGCCACTACCAACCAGCCAGTGCGCAATTATAGATGAGAATGTTGGCAATTGTGAAGCTTCGTTTCCGTTTCCTCGCTCTCCCTCCCTCTCTCTCTCTCTCTCGCTGCTCCTACATAAGTGTGCCGTTATTGAGGGAAAAGCGTCAGCTGAAGAGCAATAGAAAATATGGGAGAGAGAGAGAGAGAGAGAGAATGGTGCTATAACTCTTTGCCCGAAATTGCTTCATTTGATGTGCATGGTCATTAGACACATATATATATATATGAATTATTACCGAACCAATCAAAAGATGAAAAAATAGAAAAAGAACGACAATTATCAGATGCACTTGTCGTTTTATCCAATGAAAACAACGCAAAAAAGAGTATTATATTAAGATTTCTTTTTCTTTTTATGATTACAAAACTCAATGGATTTATATAATATAAAGAACAATCATTTATCTTCTATATCTATTCACGCGTCTTAGTTTTAGTCTTCATTCAATATTTGTTTGCGGAAGCAGATACATACATATACATATACACATACATATAGCCACGCGTAGTATATTGATATATACGAAAGTCAATCAATCACTTTTTTTGCTTTCACATATCTTCTCATTGCATAAAGTTAAAACTCCAAATAAACATAGTAAAAGGAAGACGAAGACGCCGCCCTTCGACACCATTTACGAGCGTGCTTGTCTATCGATCTTTTTTTCATTCGACTGAAGGTAAAAACACTTGGCAAATAAATGAAGTTTTGGTCGTTGTCAACAAGTGAGCGAAGGCAGAAAGGAAGGAGAAAGTCGTGATCTGTAAATAGCCTTACATAAAGGAGAAGAGAGAGAAAAAGCGAATAACACAAAAAAAATAACACAATGTAATGAACATGATAACGTGAAGATCATCCGCTGTTTTAATCCCTTTTACTTTCACTAATTGAGTCTAAACGAAGAGCATGACATTTTTTAGTCGAAAGGTGCTGACTAAATATGAATAATTGAAAAAAAATACGCATACACACATATATATACTATACATATATATACACCTTGTGCTTCTTACACGGCAGGTAGCCAAGATAGACACAGTTAGTCTTCTATCATTATTAGCTTCATTGACTGAATGAAATGAAAATTCTTTCCTGTTTCTTTTTTATTTCTTCGTTTTCATTAGATACGTTCAAGTGCCTCTTGAAAACGTCAGCACACCTTATAATAAGGCCAACACATAGACAATCGTTGATTTTTACGTAATAATTATCAGTTTTCGTATGTACCTCAGCATGACATGGAATTTTCGTGCTGTCTTTAACCTGATGTTTTTGTATTAATACATAATGTCACATAATTAGCAAAAGCAAGCAGCTGTATCGACAAATTAATGTTGATTTTGATTTTTGAGTAAATGCGTATTTTTTTCTTCTTCAATGAGTTGATCATTATGAAAGATTGCTGAAAAAGAAATAACATATCCTGTGGAGTTGAGATATTTTGTAAAGATAACATAGGAAGATGAGCATAGCTAAGATTATTATGATGTTAATTTAAAAAAATGACAAGAATTATTTTTCTCCTGAACAAGCATACAAAGAGTTATGTAGTTTAATTGAATATTTGAAAAAAAGAATTCAAGAATTACGATTAAAACATTTTGTTTTGTTTTACTATTTTATGCGCAAAAGATAGACAAGACTCATCTATTGAGTTAAATCATCTGTTGGCGGATATTTTTCAAATCCATTTAATTTTTTCGAAAATTCAATAACAAAAAAAAACTCTTGAATAAGAAAATATTCTTTGCATCGACAGAAATATAAATAACAAAATCATGATTCAATTGTTTAAAAGCAATGAAAAGTATTTTTTTTTTGAAGTCATAGGATGCTGAAAAGTACAATCGTGTAGTTTGTATTCGATTTTGTAAATCAGGTGCTGAAGAAGCATGCGTAATAATTCTGTTTCAAGTGAAAATAAATTAACGTAATATGATTTGAATAGTTATTTGTCAGTATTTACTTAGGAATGCCTTTAGTTTCATATTGAGTGCTTTCATCAATCAAATCTTCGGATTCACATTCTTCACTTAATGGCAGCAATGTCTCAGTGAATACAAATACAACCGGTTGCTCTTTTGCCTTCTTGTATAATCGACGCCTAGCTCTACTTGTTTCGTTTTTATGGTAGATCCAATAGCTACTTTGGCTATCTTTGGATCAACACATCCCAATGGCATTTTTAGAACGACACCCTATGCAAAATCACTATCTGCGCATCTAACACGAGCATAAAAAGCTAGTATGACAAGTAAAATGGCTGCGAGAAAAAGTAAAGGTATAATAATAATAGCATGAGATTTACTTTTGGAAATTCAATAGATGCTGATGTCCGCTATGTAGAAATCGGTTCGATTTCATGACTATCAAAAGTAAAATAATGATCTAATTAAATATACTAAATAATAATGATGCATCACCTAGCAATACAATACTAACTATTCAATATAATTCTCATCATTATCCACTAAGGACATCTGTCATGAACAATTATAAAAAAGAATTTTTAGAATATTTTTGTATATTAAATGATAAATAAATAAACTAACATAAATCTAATTCAATAACTTCCATTTTTTTCCTCATAAATTCTATCGCTACAATCAACGTTATCAATGAGTTTTCCTACAATTTGTTAATTTGTTTTCTTCATAAGACTGACTGACTATATGAAATTCCTTTTAAAATAACTTGATTAGATAAAATACTATCTCATACTCCTCCTTTAAATTTATTGATTCAACTCAACATTCTGTACATGACTTATCATAGAATCAAATAATATAAATATGAAAATGTTTAAAACAACATGTCATTTTCATCGAAATCCACTACAGCTCATTTCAACTTTCAAAATTTAATGGACACCAATATGGATAATCGTTGTTCATCAGCGTTAAATGATAAACGAATACATAATGTTAACTATGTTCGACAAGTTTTAAGAAGATTTTTTGGTGTTTCCCACAAGAAATCTTCATCAACAACATGTTTTGATGATATCTCTGATGAACAATCACAAGCAACGAATATCCTCAAAGCAAGTCCCATCGTTCCTGTATTTATTCAACCATGTTTACAATATGAGAATCATACAAAATTTTCTGGTAAAATCTAAAAAGAAAATCTTAACAACAAATTAAATATAAAATGACATTATTTTACAGGTGAATTATTACTTGATTGGTTTTTAAGTCATTTTGAAGGTCGTCATGAAAATCTATCATCAATTACACAAGTTATTTTACAATGTTGTACATGTCTTATTTCTCTTGGCGTACTTCGAACAGAAAATATTCAAAATGATGATTTATTTCAAGTATGAGAAAAAAGTGTGTTTTTCGTATACACCAGAGAAATAAAAATAGATGAGTGAGAACCAACTAAGGTCGATCTATTTCTAAACAAAAATAGAAGAATGGAATGAATACTGAAATTATGATCATTTATAATCGATCCTATAAATGAATGGAATTTGTATTTATATTTCCAAATGGCCATGTACATGAGAAACTGTAATAAACCTTGTCGTATGGCAAAGGTAATCAATTCTATTATGTACATTTGGATAAGATAAAAGAAATGAATACGTGTGAAAAACCGTCATCCGCTGTATATCTATGTGTTAAAATGGTCGATGATATCGACATAATTGGATACATTGAGATACGCTTTTGATGTGTGAATGACATAAATTATTTGACAAACACATTTTTCTTTTTGATCATCATTGCTCTTCAAGTAAATGTGTGAATATACACACTCGTATCCTCCTCTCTCTCTCTCTCTCTCTCTCTCATATTGTCTATTCGAATTGAATTAAACATCATTATTTATCATCTCACCTCGTCATCGAATATTATCACTATGTTTGTATAATAGTAGTAGAGATATCATCGTTTTTTGGCTCATTCATTTAGATCGATATTGACGATCGTAGACAGCAATTTTTCTTTTTTCTCGTTTTTACAAAAACGAAAAGAAAAAAAAAGAAGAAGAGACATGCAAGGCTAATAATTCACATTAATTCAAAGTCTCTTTTCTTATCACATAAATAGGTTCATATTTGTTGTTGTTAATGTTTTAACCTTGAATTGAATGAGCAATATCCTTGGTAGTTACATCTACCTACATTTATCTAGATTCCCAATTAAATTAGATAGCCGCCTGGAAGCCGACTATAATAACCTTTGACATTGAACATGTCTTCGTCATCATCATCAGTTGAAGACTGACGACGTCCCAATTCTATACATATAGATATGTATGACGTTGTCATATATTTAGTTCAATTAACAAACAGGTTGAAACATGAAAAGAAAAAAAAATAAGAAATAACCGTGAAGGATATTGACTAAATAGACAGTAGCAAAAAACCGAAATGAATAAGTCTAATTAATAATATTTGAAGGTGCATCGATTTTCTTTCTTGTCTTATGCGCCAATCGAACGACCATCACAACGGTATGTTTATTAGAATGAAAATTATTAAGAAGATTTATCTATATCGACCGTATAAATAAGGAAATGGTATCAATAGTAATGTCTTGGGACACGTAGGATTAAATAGGAAGATATCAATGGCTCGCAGGGATGATTGGGAGATTTTTGTTACAAATTAAAAGATTCTATGATGTGAACCAAGCGTTTTTTTTTGTAAGAATTACTGAGCAAAACGACAAAAATCTCATCTCTCAATTCACTAGTCAAACTCTGAACTCGTCGTTTCGTTTACCATACTCATACACACGAATAATATCAAAACTATGCATAACTAATAGTATGTATTTAGTTGATTTCATATCGCCACTCACAAATTTTTGTACAAGGAAAAAAGAAGAAGAAGAAGAATGACTCAACATCATATTTACCTCGTCAGAGTTTGATGTTACTCTTTCTGCAAAATATTCTTGCTGATGACTCATATAGATCCACAACAAAATGATTCATATTTATTTTGAATCATCCAAAATGGCATCGATTATTTCAGTTGTCATTCATTTCGTTTCTTTTCTTTTTTATATTAGACACAAAATTTGTATTCTTGGGCAACTAACATTGATGAAGATGATGATGATGCAAATATGAAATTATCATCAACAAGAACATCCAATAACAGTAAGTTTTTCTTTCTTTTTCTGTCTCAAATTTTCATTCTTTTGAATTGATATTTGATATATCGTCTCTCATTGTGATGACGATAGTTTAAGGTGTGAAGCTTTCTGTCTTCATGTCAGGAGTCAAGGATATTGTATCGATATCGTTTCTTTTTGTATTCTAGTCAGTAAAGTGTGACTGCAGAAGCAAAAGAGGCAGACGAACAGGTATCATTTTCAATTGCTCTTTTACTGCGTTGTGTAACACACGATTGTATCATTTATATCTCTTCTTCATCTGTTCCTTTTTACTAGATTGCTGCTCTCACAATTTTTCTTTCTAGTTCTCTCTCTCTCTCTCTTCGTTCCTTTTACTTTCACGCTAATCAATATAGAATATCAACCTCTTCCCCTCTTTCCTATCAATACTCACAAATATGGAGTAGCTGCCTAATTCGACTTCGAATATAAATGCAACAAAACCCACTTTCATGTTTTCCCGCAACCCCGGTAGAATATTTCCTTTTTATAAATTATAAAATTTAGATTTGGATTTCCTTTTTATACGTTAAGCAATTCGGGTGTGGGTTAGTTTGTGTGCCACACTTGCTATGTTGTGTTTGTGCGTAGACTCGAATGTCCGCCTTTCCTGACACCCACACTTGGTATGTTGGATTTGTATGTACACGCGTTGACCGCCTTTCCTACTAGCCACACTTGGATTAATTTGACGTGTTTCCGTTTTTCGAAGACATTGTCGCAAATTCTCAGCGTTCTCGTTTAAAACTAGGTGCTGCAAATTTCGTCTTCAAGGGTTTGGCGTGAGTCGCCTTAAAAGCGTTTGATACATAGTTAGATATTGGAGAGAAGAAAACCGGGAAGTAAATGCAGTTATCTGGAATCTTCAATATGTAGTGCCTAAATCGATTTCCGTGCAAGTTTCAGTCCGAAAGCTTTCCGGCAGCAACCTGCGAGTAGCATTGAAGGAATGTATCGCTGAGACGTATGTGAAAAATAATTTTAGATCCGTAGTATTTTTTAGCTAGGAGATAGGGTCAGCCGAAGATTTCTTAAACAGCGATTTTCCCCTTGATTGTTGGCATAATTTATAAAAAGGAAATATAAATCTATTCCTAAACCATAAACGGGCTGCCAGTTTGACGATCTTTATGTTTTGCTTTGGGATGGTTTTTAAATGGGCGCCATTTTTTGCATTTATTTTCGAATTGTGAATAGTTATTCAGATGTCGATTTATATTCGAAGTCGAACTAGGCATCTCATGCAAATCTGAACAAAAAATTGAGACCTTCATATTTACGTTCGCATTCTCTATTTTCTTCTCTTTTTTTTTTGAAAAGTTAACCATCATCTTATTGAAAGCAAAGAAAACAACTATAGAACATCGACAGCGACAACGATTTTGAACATTCTTAAAGTATGTTTTATAAATAATTTTGTTGATTATATTTATTTAATATTTTCTTTAGAACGAATACGGTTTTCATCCTGGTATTAAACCAATCGAAAAAAGTTCAATATCCATACAAGTCAATCTTTTAAATCGAATAGAAAAGATTGAACAATCAACACAGACCGATCAAATTAATTTACCTCTAGTTTCTTATTCTAAGGTAAAAGAATTCACACGATAAAACGATCATTGAATAAATAGTTTTCGTTTAAAGAAATGCTTGATATTTAAATTACAATCAATGTCATCATCGATTGTGACAAATCCAAGTTCAGAATGCGAATCATCATCTTCAACATCGAATTGTTATGATGAACTAACTATTCGACGAGCAATGCATCAGTTTTTATCATGTGTTAACAACAGTGATTCTTCATTACCTGTTGATGATAATGTTCATTCATCTGTTTCATCTTCACTTGTCCTTCATCCTTCACTATCGTACAAAAACAATCAGGCTAAATTTACAAGTAAATTAGATTGATTTCTTTTTTTTCTCTTTAATATTATATATTCTTTATAGATGATTTATTAATTGAATGGCTAGCGTTGAACTGTGATACAAGGAATTCTTCTACGCACCCGTATGCTAAACAAGTCAAATCAAGTTTACATTCGAATGTTAATTCAAATTCAAATGACCTTCGAAAAGTAAATTTATTTATTAATTTGAAAATTAAATAAATGCGGAAACATCGGATTCTCATTCGATTGTTATGTGTACTGCAAAAACTGAGTCGATTTATATATGTTGTGCCACCTCAGGGATGGTTTGGTCAATAATGACAATTTTTTCGATAACTCAGCCGTTTCTTGACGGATCCTTCTCATCTTCGAGCTCGACTGAGATATTGATGAGATCATTCTGTATACAAAATTTTATGACAATTGGATGAGGCTTTCAAGAGTTACCGTGCTAACGGCTGGACGGACACGCTGACTGAATCTAGAGTGTACTCACTTTTTGAGTACACAAAAGACATTAATCTAAACCTTCAAATCTAATTCAATTTATTATCAAGGATTATTTTTCGAAAAACAAACATTCAAATTTCTTTCGCTAGTTTTATATCAGCTTCATTGATGTTGTTTATAGCATCAACAAAAATTTCTATTTAGGTATTAACTTTAAATGCGTCATTAAATGAATCGAAGATACCAACATCACCTATTAGAGAACAAAATAAATCATCGATTTGTAAACCTCATCAAAATATCAACGATGATGTATGTTCACTTTTGTCAAATCTTCTTATTCAAGTTGATGAAAAATCAGATTCATCTGATACAACATCTTCCACGTATGTTGAAATTGGATATTTCGACATGTTCTATGATTTTATTTCTTTTTTTTTTATAGATTAAACATTCCACAGCCACTGTCAGTTCCTCTACCTCCTCCACCATTACCATCATTCTTTGGTATTTCTACACCGACATCAACTTCATTTGTTCCGCCGCTGCCATCTTCTTTTCCAACCATTAATATTCCACCACCTCCACCATTTCCTAATTTTGGTGTATCTTCACCACCTCCACCGCCACCTCTGCCACCTTTTCTAATCTCAACGGGCCCACCGCCACCGCCGCCTCCTCCTCCTCCACCACCTCCGTTTCCTGGTTTTGGTGTTCCACCGCCTCCCCCGCTATCAATGGGGTCTGGTGGACCTCCACCTCCACCTCCAATGATGCCAGGATTTGGTGGTAAATAACACTTTTATTTTTGTTTATATAATAACTTAATCTATCATTTAGCACCACCACAATTACCACAATATTTACGCAAGAAACAAAAATATGCTGTAACTGAACCAGTAAAAAAAGTTCAATGGAGCAAAGTCAGGGAACATGCATTGATTTTCTTCAATTTATAATCACCTATATTTTTTTTAGATTAATCCTCATGCAATTAAAAAAGATTCTATGTGGGTTCATGTCGATGAAGAAAAATATGTTAATGACGAACTTTTTTCTGATATACGAAAAAATTTCGCTAGCAAAATAGCTCCAAGTACAACAAAATTCATTCATTTGTTCTTAAATACACTTCAAGCATTCTTTTTTTCTAGGCCGACAACCCATCTACGATCTGGTTGATAAATCCAAAGAATTGCGCGTTCTTGACGCTAAAGCTGCGCAAAATTTTGGTATGAACTAACTTTTCTACTGTACTAAAACGAAATTCTCAATCAATATAATTATTTTAGCTATTATGTTCAGTCAGTTGAAGGCTCCACCATCAGCTTTTCGTGAATGGATGCTTTCATGTGATAATGAATATTTAAAAGATGATTTTCTGAAACAATTAGAAAAATATTTACCAACAGCTGAAGAATTAAAAGCGTTAGCTGAATTTAAAAATGAAATCAATGATTTACAATATTCGGAACAGTACTTTTGTGCGGTAAATGCATATCTAATTGTTGTTCTTCTTGCATAATTTCTTTTATTTATTCAGATTGGTGATATAAAACGATTAAAACAACGTTTAAAAACTCTTTTATTTAAAGCAAATTATAAAGAAACAGTTGAAGAAACAGATAAAGTTTGTTGAATTTAACAAAGAATTTTTCTTTTTTAATCATTTTAAATGATTGTCTTAGGCATTTGTTGAAGTTCGCAATGCATGTGATCATGTTCGCCATTCCATGAAATTTAAAAAAATGCTCGAACTAATTTTAACAGTAGGAAATTATATGAATTCAAGTGCAAAATCTTACGAACCAGTACACGGATTTGATATTAGTTTTTTACCAAAAGTAATTTAATAGAAGTTGCTTTTTATTGATCATCTTTATTTAATTCAATAGTTGCATTCGACAAAAGCAAACGATGGTCGTCGTTCATTACTTCATTTTATAGTTCAAGCTATAGAAAATAAACATCGTGATTTACTTTCATTTTCTGATGAATTTAATTCTCTTGCTGATGGTATATCGAAAAGTGAGATTGTAGATTTTGATAATGATAAAAGAAAATAAATATTTTGTTTTTCTATGAATAGTTAATATACTTGAATTACAAAAGCAACCGAAAGAAATCAATAAAGAATTAAAAAATGCTCGAGAAGAATTAGATTTTGCAAAAAATATCGAAGAACCAATTGATGGCGATAAATTTGTTCAATCTATTGAAGTAAACTTCTTTGAAAAACAAAAAAAGAGTTTATTAAACTTTTATTTTTATAAAAGGATTTTATTATTCGAGCTGATAATGATGTTGCTCGACTAGACCAATTAGATGGAGAAATGACACAATCATATCAAAATCTTTGTGACTTTCTAGCAATTGATCCAAAGAATTATACTCTTAATGAATTTTATACAGATCTCAAATCATTTTGTTCTTTGTTTTCGGTAGATAAATCTTTCAGGTGTAGATTTTATTTTATATTTTGTCTGTATCCTATTTTCTAGGCCTGTCTTCAAGAAGTGCGAGCATGGCGTGAACAAGCAGCAAAAGCAGCGAAAATATCGTAAGTATTTTCTTTTAAACGAAAGAAAAACAAAAACCGAACAAGAATCAAAAGAAAGAGTATTTAAACCTACTCCCTTTAGTCAAAATTTAATGTCTACTTCGCATTATTTTGTTCGAACGTCCTCACGCCGTTTTCCTACACGATCCGATTCAACGGATGATTTTATATTGGCCGCTGCCGAAGGTTTTGCTTCGCCATCGCGTGGTTCTTCTCCATCTATAGCATATCGTCGACAGGTAGCTCTAGCTATATAACGCAGCTTAAATAAACGCAAACTAGACTTGTAAATGCATGATCTTTAAGGGTTTTTTTTTAAATATTGACTCACCTTTTAACATTAATTTTTATTGAAGTTGTTAAGAATAAATATTTTTGCTTTTTTTCCATTTAGAAATACACCCTTGTTAGTCGAGAAAAAGACTCACGCTACTCCCGATGATTCGCCAGTAACAAATCGTCGTCCATTATCACGTATTGAAGATTTACTTGATAAACGTAAAACAAATCGTGGATTAACACCTACATTAACTCCAACTAAACAACGCTCACAATCATAGAGAATGATTATTTTTTATTTCTGCTATTGTCAATCTCTTATTTATTTTTTATTTTAATTCAGTGAATTCGAAAACAGGAAAGATAACGTTCATCCATGTTCAGTATTCCTTATTCAATGATATTTATTTTTTGTTCTGTCTTTCTTTCATTCATTTTTTCTCTCCTTCGAATCTATGTTCAGTTTGTTTCTGTAGAAGTGTATTTGATATTTTTCTATCTGTTATTTTCGTTTCATTTTCTTTTTTTGTCTCGATATAATGTTATTGTTCATGAAAAATAATTGATAAAAGAAAATATCGAATTGAACATATATATATGTATAATTAAATATATTTGTTGTAGCGATTCTTATTTTTTTTTATCTGCTACTCTTTCAAATGGACATCAGTTGTCCACAATGTCAGACGACAAAATACAGAAATCCAAAAATGAAATTAATGGTCAGCAAATGTGGACATTCATTGTAGGTGATATCGATTGAAGAAAAATAACGTTAATTGTTTCTAAAATTTTTTGTTTTTGCCAGGTGTGAAAATTGTGTAGAATTTAAATTTAGCAAAGGCGTTGGTTATTGTCCAACATGTAAAACTGAATTGAAAAAAAGTGGATTTCGATATCAAATATTTGAAGATGCATTTGTAGAACTCGAAGTTGATATTCGTAAACGTATTCTTAAAGAGTAAGTTAATGTTGCGTGGAAAAAGTATTAATTCATAAACAGTTGATTTTCTAGTTTCAATCGAAAAGAACAAGATTTTGACTCACTCGATGCCTATAACGATTATTTGGAATTGCTCGAAACTTATAGTAAGATAATCTTTTTCTTCTTCTTCTGAGTATGATGCAATGTTGAAAAATCATACATCATTCATAGGAAAGATTAGTATAAATATCGAAATTTTCAAATTTTATATTCATTGATTACTTTTTAGTTTTTAATCTCACCAACAAAGTTGATGTTGAAGAAACTGAACGAAAAATCGCTGAATATAAAGAAGCGAATAAAGACATAATTAATAAAAATCGAGGCAAATTGGTTAGTACAATAATTGTTTGATCGTAAGAAGACGAAAAAAAAATGATTTCCTTTTTTTCCTGATAAATAGACTAATGATGAAATATTTATTGAACATCTAATTGAACAAGAACGTACGGCTGAAGAAATGCGCAAAAAAGTCTATGAACAAGAACTACAAAAAGAACAGGAAGCAAAACAACGTGTTAAAAATGATCTTATGGAAGCATTAGTAAAAATTGTTGATGCTTTATTTTACTTTAAACTTTTGTTTTTCTTTCAGCTTCAAACAGATGGTAATGTCGATCAAGTACTTAGGAGAGGTATCGAAGATCTTGAAAAGAAACGTAAAGAAGATGTTCAACCAATCATGCCTAATATGGTAAAGAAACGAATTCAAATCTATCTAAACTGCTTTCATTTTCATTTTGAAATAGATAAATCGTGAAGAAGATATTCTTATATCGTTAACAAGTGATCAAAATCAACAAAGACTATTTGAATATATTCCACCCGTTTATGAACATCAAGGACCACCAGTTCCTGAAAAAAATGATCTTGAACAACTCGGGTAAACAAAATTAAATTCATTTATTATTATTTATGAAAATTTCTTATTATTCTCTTTTACAGATATCTAGATCATGTTCGTCAAGAACGACCAGTCGAACGTGCTGGTGGTTATACAAGAGAATATCCATGTTTGCGTGCTATACAGGAAGCATTTGATATGTTGTTATTTGTAAAAGAAAAATCTTTGATCAATGTTAAACAAGAACCTACACAAGAAAATGAACCTATGGAAAGTTAATTAATAGAAAATTATTTTTTATTCTAGATAAATCTGTTCAAAATATGCAAATAACAGTACCGCCATCCGTGAAAGGTATGACAGAACTTAATCGTGATGAATTTACACAGACAATTACGGTGCCGTATATTAACATACCAGGTGAATGTATGCAATCGAAACAATTAAAAGATATTCTACTTATACTTCCTTCATTTAAAAATGCTCGAGATTTAGAACCACGATTAAAACAAATTTCACTTGATCCAGATGTAATTCAAACTAAAGAAGATATTATTAAACGTGTACCCTCAATAGAAGAATATGTTGAACAATCATTTGGTTTTATTCAAATAATCATAACATACACTAATTATACTATCGAACAAATTATTAAAGGAATTCTACCAGATGATTTAATGAAAGATAAAAATGTTAATAACGGTTCAGGTTATAGTCTCATTGGACATATTGCTCATTTCAATTTAAGAGATGAAGTTTTACCATATAAACATATAATCGGTGAGAAATTACAAATTATTAGTCAATGATGAAACCATCTTTTATATTTTCTTCCAAGGATTGTAGCTCAAGTTGTTCTTGATAAACTGCCACATGTAAAAACAGTCGTAAATAAGTTACATGAAATCGATTCTGTCTATCGTAATTTCGAATTAGAAATTCTTGCCGGTGATCCTAATACTATAGTTAAATGCCGTGAAAGTAAAGTCACATTTGAATTTGATTTTGCAAAAGTTTATTGGAATCCTCGATTAAGTATGCGGATTGACTTTACTATTTGATAAGAAATTTGTTTTTTCAATCTTCAAGGTACAGAACATGAACGTATTATTGAATTCCTTCGTCCGAATGATCTTGTTTTTGATGTATGCGCTGGTGTTGGGCCCTTTGTTGTTCCCGCTTCAAAGTTTGGCTGTTTAGTTTATGCAAATGATATTAATCCGGAATGTTTCAAATGGATGAATGTTAATTTTAAAAGGAATCAACCAAAAAATGCATTGAGAGAATATCATTTATTTAATCTTGACGGAAGAGAATTCTTGCGGACTATTGCTTTACCACAGATTGAACATTATCAAAAGCAAGGGCAATTGAATCGTAATATTGTAATTTTAATGAATCTACCTGGACTTGCTATAACATTCTTGGATGTTATTTCTGAATGGTTATCAATAAATATCGAAGAAAAACAACAATGGAAATTGCCAATTCATATTTATTGTTATACATTTTCTAGGGGCGAGGATCGTGTCGAAGATGTACGAACGAGACTGAACTTAATCTTACCGAACGTAGACAATGATCAAGTATCATATCGATTTGTTCGACAAGTTGCACCCAATAAAGACATGATGTGTGTACATATTCGTTTGTATGATAAGAAAGTGGAAGATGATAAAAGACAAAATTGTTCCGAATAAAGAATTTTTTCTGTTATTTTATTTTTGATTGATATAAAAATAAAGCGAAATTTTCATTTTTGCAGATGCATTCTTTAAATATGATTAAAACAATTTTAATTGAAGGTAATTTAGATGCTCAGCTGATTTTAATATGAAAATCTTCGCTGTTGAATGACTAGTTAATTGTGTAAAAAAATAATATACCTTGCTACAGACGTATTTGGATTCGAAAACTTGGTGTCAGCGTTCCTATTGTGTCTATGTTTATTTATTAGGTAATATAGGTGCGGGCAAATCAACAATAATGTCTCATATTGCATCTATTTATCCATCAAATCTGATTCAAGTACATCGTGAACCTGTTGAAAACTGGATGAGTATCAAAGGTTTTGATCTTCTCAAAGCTTTATATACGGAAAGTAGCCGATGGACATTTGCATTTGAAATGACAGCACTTTTATCACGTATAAAAAATAATCTCAACGCCGTTCAGCATCATAATATTCATATCTATGAACGTTCTATTCTTAGTTGTTTTCATGTATTTATTCGTCATGATCTTCAACAAAACTATTTAAATGAAGCTGAATATAAGGTTCTTCAAGATCATTTTGAATATAGTCGGCAAAAAACTCTTGATCTATCGCAAACAATTATATTCTATTTGGATTTATCGCCAAAAGAATGTTTCGAACGCATTGTCAAACGTTCTCGACAATCGGAATTAAGTATTGATTTAAAACGTTTAGAACAGTTAAAGTATCATTATGATGAATTTATACAGAATTTTAATTTATGTCCTGTAAAAATTATTGATGCTTCACAACCAATTGAAAAACTACATGAACACGTTAATACACTATTAGATCAATTGATTAAACAGAACCAAATAAATGATATGAGAAATCGCCAACCAACATCGATTATAACCAAATTAGACAGTTCATAGAGACAAAAAGGTATTGTTGTGGTAGATTTTTCAAATATTCATATGAAATAAATATTTATTTTTAGATATTACATAAAATAGCAAGTCAATCTGTTCGAACGTCGTTGATGTTGTATTAAAATGCTGATGAAAGAAAAATTGTATTTTTTTTTGTGAAATAAACTTGAGGATGTGATGAGTGTGGGTAATAAAAGAATGTCGGTGCTTTCACCCACACTCTATTTGAAGCCTATATTATAACGAAATATTGATTTGTTTTTGGTATAGAAATTGTTTGCAATCAATTTTCAAAGTAGAATATTCAACGTGGAAGACGTATTTGTAAAAGAACTGTTGATGTAAAAAAGCACATCGGGCAAGAATGAAGTGCATGTAAAAGTATTTTTTTCGTACTGTTTCTCTTGACTATAACGAAACAAAGCAAACATTCTTCTTTTTTTTAAATCTTGTATTCTTTTCCATAGCTGATTTCTTCGTGGGAATATGATTCGATTTTTGTATTTTCTTGAGTAATTCTACCCGTGTCAATGAAGCATTTGCTAGCTGGCAAATTACCAGGAGCGTAAGTCAGGTCTCAGAGCAGGGGGGGGGGGGGTGTACCACAAATTTTTATGTTTAAATGCCAAAAAAATAAATTTT